AATCACTGGTTTCCAGGGAGCAGCTATGCTATGTTGCTGATATTTTAAAGTCCCTGCAATATTTGTAAAAGCTGTGACAGATATAGTGGATGGTGACAAACCAACTGCAGAGGAATTCTTGAAGAATTTGGTTGCAGTGACTGCTGCCCTTGATCATGCAGTCACTCAAGTCGTTGATTTCATCAATGGAAAATGTCTATCTGAACTTTGATATGTTATACCATCATTATTAATTGTTGAGAAATTATATAGATATGGCAAAATTATCTCATAAACTATAGTTCCACCAGGAATTCAGTTTGGTTTCATATGATTGATTTAACGGGAAAACAGTTGATAACTTCTAGCCTGAGAATGTACAGACTTCTGGAATCTGGATGAATGATGCCATTCATTTACTTGTCTAGCATGAGCTTTTTCGCTGTAATTTATGCTTTACCAACAAGAATATGGGTCATTGAAAAATTTTCTCCTTTGGCATCAATTAGCATTTGAAATTCCTTTAGGACTATACTAAGAATCAGGTTTTTAATTGTTAGGTCGTAATTTTTAAAATCATGTGAAGGTATATTTCAACATGTATCCTTTGACTAGCATGTTTTTTTCTTTTAAAAAGGGATTTCCTTGTAAGAGTTACAATTTCCTTGCTCACTGGAATTATATAGCGGTAAATGATTACTTGAATAGTAAGTAGAATATACCATCATTCCAATTGAAAATTTTAAACTTGCAAAATTTTTATCTTACAAATTTTGACAATTTAAATAAATCCTCGTAAATATTTTAACATATTTATTCATGCAATCCCGGAACTCGAATCTTTCACCAAACTTATACCAACAATTATTAAAATGACGAAAGCATAAGAACCTTGCTGCTTAACTAATCTCTCAACTTTCTAATTGAGAATGGCCACACTTAATGTGTCTCCTTTAATGAAATCACAAATTCTCTTGATCCTACTTTCTTAACTTGCAGAACTGAAGTTGTATATATGCAAACAGCTGTGCCCTTATCGCTTTGCTTCATTTCAATCCTCTTCTACTAGTCAATTTGGTCAAGTATCTTTTGAAGTTGAAAAGAGTTATAATGGGGAGCATAGATGTTGCCCAAGGAAGCTCATCAAAGAAGCCCAACCCTGGGAAAGCTACTATTCTGGCACTTGGCAAGGCCTTTCCTCACCAGCTTGTCATGCAGGAGTTCCTGGTTGATGGGTATTTCAAGAACACCAACTGTGATGATCCAGACCTCAAGCAGAAGCTCACCCGACTCTGTAACCTTATTTATTTTCTTTCCTACCCTTAAATTCTTTACATTTAGCGGCAATTCTTGTGAAACCATACCAATGTTCACTATTCTCAAACTTTTTCTACAGGCAAGACAACAACTGTGAAAACAAGATACGTGGTCATGTCAGATGATATTCTAAAGAAATATCCAGAGCTCGCCATTGAAGGTCTTCCGACTGTAAAGCAGCGGCTTGACATCTGCAATAATGCAGTAACAGAGATGGCCATTGAAGCCTCAAAAGCTTGTATTCAGAACTGGGGGAGACCAGAATCAGACATAACCCACTTAGTCTACGTCTCATCCAGCGAAGCCCGGCTGCCAGGGGGGGATCTTCACCTCGCAAAAGGCCTAGGACTCAGCCCGGAAACTCACCGCGTCTTACTCTACTTCATGGGCTGCTCCGGCGGCGTGGCAGGTCTTCGCGTGGCAAAAGATATCGCAGAGAACAACCCTGGAAGCAGAATCTTGTTAGCCACAACTGAAACCACCATTATTGGCTTCAAACCTCCGAGTGCCAACCGGCCATATGATCTCGTCGGTGTTGCACTCTTCGGTGATGGAGCCGGAGCCATGATAATTGGCTCGGACCCAGTTGCAGAAACTGAAAACCCTTTGTTCGAGCTTAACACGGCAATCCAGAACTTCTTGCCGGACACAGAAAAGACTATAGACGGGAGGCTGACAGAAGAAGGGATAAGCTTTAAACTCGCAAGAGAGCTTCCTCAGATAATTGAAGATAACATAGAAGGGTTCTGTGAGAAGTTGATGGGAGTTGTTGGATTCACTGAGAAGGATTACAATAAGATGTTCTGGGCAGTTCATCCCGGAGGTCCTGCAATCTTGAATCGGATTGAGAAGCGGCTTGAATTGTTGCCAGAGAAACTGAGCTCTAGCAGGCGAGCTCTGATGGATTATGGCAATGCTAGTAGTAATACAATTGTGTATGTGCTGGAGTACATGATAGAAGAGAGCAAGAAGATGAAGATGGAAGAAGACAAGGAAGGTGATGAGTGGGGATTGATATTAGCTTTTGGACCTGGAATTACATTTGAGGGAATTCTTGCAAGGAACCTGACAATCTGAGAATAATAATGGAGTCAAGTGGTCGAAAAGTTCGTTTCTTTGATTTCCCTTGATTAGTTAAAAAAAAAAAGGCCTGAAAAAATGTCAACTTTAAAACTTGATGGACTCCCCTGTCCCATTTGATGTCTTAAACCAATCCGAAAAATCCAAGGTTTTACAACAAGATCTTACATGTCCTATTTCTTTCTTCTGCAAAATTCACTAGGAAAATATCACCGCCATTATGCACCGCTCATATGGAAATTTCTCTTATTTAAGTGCTACAATGTCGCATAACATTTCTTAGTAATTTAGTAATTTTTGTATGATAATTATTTATGGTTGCAAAGTAATCAATTAACATTGTGTTACAAGATAATTTTAGAAAGCAGGAGAATGGATCTAGATAAAGGTTGCTTTTTGTGGATCCTACAGTTCTAACACATAAACATTGTGTAATTAACCTTTTTTTTTTTTTTTTGTTGTGTAACCTACGCATAAATGAAGAATGGAATTGATGTAGCTTCTGAAGACCTAACAAAAAGAAACATCAAATAGTATATACCTTCAACAATCCACAATAACTCCAGTGATTTAAGCATCGTTAACCATTCGTGATCTCTAATTTACTTGCAGAGCACATTGTAAGTCTACATAATTTAGGTAAGATAGCAAAAGATTACCAATGATGCTAAAAAGTTTATCCCAGCTATGAAAATCATATATATCCCACCTAAAGTTCTATGAATCCCCAATTTACAGACAACCAGAATGGCGTGGAATGCAAAAAAGGGAGCTTTAAGGGGCAACCAGCCACATCTTCAAATAAGTTAATTTTGATTGCTTTGAGGCTACATCAAACACAGCCCAAGAGATTGTTCAATTAGACCACTCCAGATGGAAGACGAAGTACTAGCTGTCCTCCAAAAACACTGCAGAGCAAACATCACATTTTATCGGAAAATGAATATCAAACTATTTTGACAAGTAACTCTGAAAAGAAATCATTAGTGGATTCAACCAACCTTTTGACGTAGTAGTAACAGAAATCTGCTAAGATGAAAGTTTGGACGATTTCTGAAATAAGGACCATAGAAGGCCATAATCCATAACCTAGTGCAACGAGCAAGTGCCCACGAGTATCTAGAACCTGTTAATAGCAAGACTCTATAGAATCAGTAACTACTCATGGTAAGATAAGCATCAACATAAGTTTGGACGATTTCTGAAATAAGGACCATAGAAGGCCATAATCCATAACCTAGTGCTACTAGCAAGTGCCACGAAGATCTAGAACCTGTTAATAGCAAGACTCTATGAAATCAGTTAGTCATGGTAGGATTGGAATCAACTAAAGTTCACAAGAAAATATTTTCTATTGGGAAATATTAGCCACCAAAAGAGTTTCACATGTGAATCACACGCCCTAGAACTAATCCTGTTCCTCAGAAGGTACTTAAAAAGATAATCGCTATCTTCTTCCACTACAAAATTACCATCCAAAAATTGTATGCTGAGAAAAAAAAAATAGTCCAGAGCAAACACTTATAAAGGTAACACTGCTCACTGTGAAATGTCATAGAAAAATAATTTTTAATACATAGGATAAAACAAAATATCATATCCAGATAATAAACCTACTTAAAACCAGCATTAGAAATAAATCCCAGCAAGATCAAACCTGTAGGACCCAGTGGGCACAGCTTAGGAACTTGCAACTCCTAGTGCAAATACATAATGAGCTGTGAATGGTTCAACAATCTGGAAAGCCAAAAGAACAGATGAGTTATAGAGAAAAACAGAGTTGTTGGTTCAATTTAATAAATCTCATAAACATAAGTACATTCTGTTTCTTGAGTTATGATAATTTTCCATAGAATGGCTCGATTTATATCTCTCAAGAGACAGAAGTTGGTACTGACTGTATGAGCTATATCACATGATCATGAGCATATTCCATTTAAAACACTGTACCTTTGTGTTCTGCATGACCCGCAACTGAGGTAGAACTGAAACAGCTTCCAAATATACGCAGAATGCCCAGAAAATCCTGTTTAATAAATGATGCGATGTTGATGGATGAATAAATAAAGCTAATACAGCACATGGTATGACCTGCAAAAAAAATTTCATAACAAAGTTGTACTCTTTCGTAGGAACAAACACAGCTATTCTCACATAAAAATCCAGCTGAGTACTATAAAAGATTAGCATGCATGTGATTTCAACCCAATTTAAATGGCTAGAGAAGGTTGGCATGCACCCAGTTCACTGAAATCAAAGACAACTGAAATCATGGCATGCGAATGACAGACAACTTACCACATAATAAATAGCAAAATTGTCTTTATCTTCCATGTAACTAGACCTCAACTTGAAACGGATCATATAAATAACCCATAAAGTTGTAGCCAAAGTAGCCAGGTCAAGAACAGTGTGTATATCATATTCCATAACAAAGCTGCAGTACAGCCTAACAGCTAGAAACATAGCTGTTAGTTCCTGGGATTTGAGTGATAGTCCTGAAAATCATTCAAAACGGAATGAAAAGAAAGAATTCCGTTAGACAAAATTGAACTTAAGATCTACAATAACATACCCAATTGCCTTGTATCAAACAAAAAAAGGAAAAAAGGTTCGAAGATTTAGATTTAATTTTCTTCCCCAACCAACATTTTCCTAACCAATGAACCGCATGGAAGAAAAAGAAAAACATCATCCAAAAGAACAGACTGATGAAAACCGAGGGAAAATAAGCAAGCTTTGAAAAATAACTGGAAGCCAAACAATGCGATCTTGTTCTATTTAAAGTAACTTAAGGAGGGAAAAAGGTCAAAAGGCAACATTATTACATAAAAATTACCAATCGAATTAGACATAGAAGCCCTAACAAGTGTCAAACACAGACTTCAATTCACAAACCGAAACAGAAATAACAAGAACAATTAACCAATCAGTGAATACCACCTTCAATTTCTCAATAAACCCATAAGAATATAACAGCTAGGAAGAACATCTTGTAGAACATAAACCGCGTTTCACTTATTTGAAAAAAAAAAAAAATAAGAAAAAAATCACCACGACGACATAAAACGAAAACGCGGGAAGCTGTCAACTAAGGAATTAAAAAAAAAAAAAAAAAAAAAAAAAAAAAAAACCCTAGAGAAATTACGACTTTTTACCAGCGCAAGTCTTCTCCTTCATGAGTTTGTAAATTAGCACGGAAATTCCAATCGAGTGAACAGCCTCAGCAGCAACAAAGAGATTGTCGTGATCGTGTACGATGAATCGAAGCAGCACGAGCGCCGCCATCCCGGCCACCACCGCTAAAAACGCCTTCACTTTCGGCGGCTGCTTCCTCACCCATGTCGATACGGCGTGGATCGATCTCTTCTGTGGCCTCATGTGCGCCCCCTGATAATCCTCTTTCCCGGGAAGACGACGGAGACTCGAATCGAATAAAAATTGAAAAGTGAGTGTGAGAATTTGTATATACGGGTGCGATTTGATTTGGTTGGGAACCGAGTGCGATCAGGAGATCTCTTTTGTTTATTAATAAAATTTCTTGTTCAAGAATTTAAGAAATTTATTTTTTACTTCACAAAAAATTTAATTAGAAAATATTATTATCCGGGTGGATACACACGAACCGACGCATTCGGATCTGAAGTATCGTTTGGTCTGGTGAGGTGACCTACTTCGCTAAAACTTGGAACTTTAGACTTGCAGTATCTCCTTATTCTTTTAATTTTAATTATAAGTTCTATTTTTGAATATTTATTTTCCCAAATAAGTTAGATTATAAAAATAATAATTATGTCTTTAATTTATAATTTTTAAAATAATCATTCAATTATATCTATTTAAATTAATAATTTTTTAGCATCACGAACGATATAATCACCATGCTTATTTTTCTCTAATTTGATTGAAGACAGATTATTTATGCCCAAATTGAAAATTCATATAAATTATTGCAGTATAACTTTAATATAAATAAATTTTGAACTTACGTAGAAATATATACATTTACTTATTAACAAATTCATATGGCTTTAACTTTTAATTAAATTAATTAATTTTTTGTATTATAATTATTAAAATAATAATTCAATATAAGATTATTAACGCGCTCTCATTTGCACATATTTGTCAGCGAGCGACACTAGTCAAATACATCACCACCAACTTGTACAATGGGTTCGGGGGATAGCCCCTTTGTTTGGGTTGGCTGATTACCTCCTGACTATAACGTTAATTTAATGGTTGACTCCATCAGTTTATAAATTTGTATATAAATAAGAAAACATAAATAAACTAATGATTATTTCAAGATACGTAACTAATAATAATGATCAATATTAAAAAATAAACATAAGGTTCCGTGTTTCATCATTATAAATAAATTATTAAAAAAAAAAACAATCAGATTATATTACTCAAATTGGTTAATTTTAAAGAATTTATAATTATTAATATATTTATGAAATGAAAATAAATATATATATACACACAGGACATGGCTTGGAAATACAACATACACACTTTTGAATTATAATACAAAAACTGTTAGCCACTAAAAATAAAAGTAATAATCGATTAATAAAAGGAGGCAACTATGTCCCAGAGAGTATTTGAAATCCGTGATACGACCACTCAATGACTTGTCCCTCTGCCTTCGGTATGTATAGAGAATAACTCCGCACTCGTGAACAAAGCAAATCAAACCTCTTCTGACTGTGCGGTTGGTTCGACCCATCAAGTCAATGTCTACAAAAAGTTAGCAGCCAACCCCTGAAGGAAGCAGCTTGTTTCCACCGAAGCAGTCTTCGTTTGGACTTGATTTCCTCTTCAATACCTATATACATTTTTTTTTTTTTTTGTTTTAAGGGATTGTATTCCTATACGCAGCATATTATATGCACAAAAATAAAAGACAGGCTTGTACTTTAAATCTAAATCAATTTCATGTCAAATTCAAATAATGTGTTTTTATTATTTTTTATAAATAAAAACATAATAATTAATCAAAATTTAAAAACTTGAATAAGAATATAATAAGTTTCAACCAACGGCAGTATAGAAAGTGTTTGGCCATAACTAGCCAAACAAATGCCACATCGGGTGGGTAAATTTGATTGCAGAAGTTCAACATAAAATTGCGTTACATGTATGTAATGTAAAGAAAGAATTGGCATATAGCATTTACGAACCAATTAACTACGAAAATTCATGATTTACAACTACATTACCAAAGACCTCAAAGAGGTATTTTGCTTTTAAGGTACCTTTGTTTCGTGATTAGCTCTGAACTGGTCAGTTGGTTGAAATCAGAAAATGATAGTAAACAACACCATCCTAATGAATTTCATCAAAAAGTCCATGAATTTGATCTTTTCATGAGGGGTTTCATTTGTTTGTCTTCCTCAAGTGCCACCATGCCTAAATGAGATGGATCTTCCAACATCATCTTTGCTACCAAGTAACCAGCAACTGACCATGTCTGGAACTTTCGAGCCTGCTTCCCAATGTATCGGCCAACCTTACCATCATAATATTCAGGCCAGTTGTCCTTCAGCAGCCTGGTTTCGGCTAGTTCAATAGCATTTCTTGCTATTTGTGGGCGTCCGGTTTTGATGCATGCAGCCGTTAGAAGCCAAAGTAGAACTGTAATTGTAATAGCCAGAACGAAGCTCAGACAAATCATCTAAAGCACAAAAGTTAAAGGCAAATGACTATGATGCCTGAAACTGTCCCATCATTAATTGTTTCTTGTATTTTAATACAGTTCAATAGATTATAACCTTGAAGAGAGTCGGATTATTAGTTTGGAGGGAGAGACCAAACAAGTCAATAAATATGTTTGCATACAACAGTTTGAACAGCTAAATTTCACAAGAGAAAGCAGTACATTTTCCATATTGTTTTTGAAAGAAAAGGAGTTTCCATCAAATGGCTGAGTGGTCAACTGGTTTAAGTTATATATGTTTCTTAGACCAGAGCAAGGAAAAATAGAAGACTGCTACTTTTTTCTAACAAAAATGCACAATAACTTATAACAACGATATTTTGGAAAAAAATAAAAAAAAAAACAAGGAACAGACTTATGAGAAGGATGAATACCTGGCCAAGATCCCCCATTGTGGTAACTCCATCTTGTATTTTTAGGATCACACCCTGTTACAATCCGCCATTCATGGCTCTCTATTGCTGGATAACAAACTTTTAGTGGCATTTCTCCAACTAATTCCTCCCAACGTGATTCTATAAGATCCATAATTGCAGTAGATTGTTCAGGAGTTGCTAGGGATGACAAAATTGCAATGCAGTTACCCAAACAGAACCAACGGAAATCCATTCTTGCAGGGCTAACATTACCAATAAAGTAGCCACCACGAAGTGGCATAAAGTCAAAAACCCATTCCGGAAGAGAATCTGGAATTACATTAAACTTATTGACTGCCGTGTGTGAGTACTCTTCTGTCTTATATCTGTATATATCATTGAGCTGCTTCAGATCAAGCCAAAAGTAACTTCTAATGTGATAGCTTAGTGCATGTAGGCGCTTAGAAATTCGTTCTATGAACTCCTTCCCCTCATTATCTTGCTTTAGGAGAAGCAAAGCACATCTCAAAGCCATAAAGAAGAGTGCTTGTATTTCAATAGGATGCCCATAAACACCCTGAAAACGTGGAAGACATAAATAGTGGAGGAATAAATCTGAATGAAAAGATAAGAACAATAATATAAACCAAGAGGGCAGTTAAAATCACATTGTCGATAATGCTAATTAAGAAAATAAATAACTGGTACTGTATCATTGTCATTCAGGATGAACCTTATGGTAGTAATAATTGTTTCCCATTTAATAAATTGAGCAATAACAGCAAGTAATTGTTTGTCACATATGTCTGACAATAATATGCAGTCTTCCCTGTCTCTTATGTGCAACTAGCAATGGTATAACTTCTTGACAGTTTACTGACACTATTCATATATATCCGATACTGCAAATGCAATTAAGCAAAGTACAATTTTTCTCCATGTATAATTTTCTAGCTCGAGGACACAACTATGCCCCACTTTAAAATTTTGCATGTCATGTGCCAAATATGTAGCTCAGGTTATTTACTTTTTAAAAGATGAGAATGAAGAACTCACCATTCTACGATCAATCATGCAGCACCCATCAGCACAAAGAAGAGTAGGAAATGTGTCAAACCCCTCTGACAGGCATAAACTCAGTATTAGGCGCATGCCCTTCTGGCATTCAGGCATTTCAGCCAGAGAAGAGTCTCCTGTAGACCTTGTGTATGCCCGAAGTAATATAATCCACCAAAATCCAGAATCCACAGGGGCAACTCTTCCTATTGCACTTTCTCCAAAATCAGCAATTAAAGTTTCATAGTTCCTGACAGGATCATGAAGAACCTTGAAACTAGCTGGCATGACCCCCTCGCCAAGCTGAAATCTATCTATCTTTTTCTCCCATGATTGAAGGCGAAGAGTCTTCAAAATGAAGTTTTTTACTATTTCAGGTTCCCCATTCATCAAAAAGGCCAATGCACTAGGAACAAAGTCTCTCACAAACACCTACAGAGGCAAATAAAGTTAAATGTAATAACCTTATAGAGAACATGACTCAGGGCAGGGCCAGTTGTAGCTAGAAGCAATCAAAGACATCTGAAATCCAAAGCCAATAAAACAACCACAAAAATAGAGGAATCATGCATAACAGAGCAGAAACTAGCAGGTTTTGCTTTTTGTTGAACAAGCTTAACTGACAGATTATTTTAACTTTTTACTGCAACATCAACACCAACACCGTACACCAAGCCCAGAGACGAAACTTACTGAGTGGCAATAACAAAATAAAATAAACTTATACATAGCGGACTGAAAAATTATTAAGTTTAGGCTCTTCACCTGATCATAGTTAAGTTCTTCTTCTGAATTGTCTAGTGCAGCAATTGTCCCAACTGGTTGGCCTCTAAAGTATACCAAGGAGCGCCTCAAAGCATCCCAGGCTTCAGCCACCGTTGGATGTGGCTCAAACACATTCACATGTGACCTTGGAGTATTAAATCCAGACTTTCGACCAGCAATTGGTGAATGGACATAATCAATATGGTCGATAATTCTTGAAAAGGCATCAGAGTTTCTGCAAGACAGATGTGGTGACAAGCCAATAGATAACTCATTAAGCGACCTTTCATCACATGATCTCTGCCTATCTATATTCAGAGGCCTTGGCTTGTCCAGTAACTTTGAGAAATCACATTCTTCAATGTCGTCCGCAGTGCGGACATTATCACCGTTCTTCGTATTTCCTTTGAGATTTACATCCACATGCAGTTGTGCCATGTTTTAGAATCCCAACTATGACAGTTTCCAAAATCTGCACTCCAACAATCCGAGTCTAATTATATATCATGTAAAAGCAGAAGCTAATAGTCAAAAATTACTAACTTCATAAGCTAAAAATTAATGCTAGTAAACAACCAATTAATGCAGGATACGTGCTTAGACTACTCTTCAGAAGCCACCACGAGATAATGCAGGTTTATTATCTCCTCTGTCAAGATCCTAGATACGAACCCTAACAACTGATAACCGGATTGAGGAAGAGAGAGTTGGAATTAACTGAAAACAGGGGAAGAAGAAGCCGAAGAAAATTTTGGAGGAAACAAACTGACTATATGAACTTCGATTAAATTCAGAGTAAGGATCAAAATCCATAGACAGACGTAATATAAGCTACCTCAAGAAACCATTAACGTCGAGTTCTTGCTCCCCGAATTACAACGGAAATGAAAGAAATAAGATAACAAATGCACAACGAACTTCAGCCATCGAGAATCTCCAACAGTATAATTAGTTAATGAATAAGAGAAACGCAAAAAAAAAAAACGGCACCGTTTGCTCCCTACTGAAACGACACCGTACAAGACCCCTTCAAGTCCTGAGACGCCATAAACAATGGGGAAGATGTGAAGAAGAAGAAGAATCTACGATATAGAAATAGTGCTTCAAGATCCAAAGAAATGAAACTAGAAATAAGAAAAACATAGTCCATTTACAATGCCTCAATGCCAAGCACGTTCAAATCACAGCTAGAAATTCAAATCAGAAAAAGAAACGATTCATAACCCATCAACGAACTTAAACAATCGATCAGACGAAGCCAGGAAAGACAAAGAAAAACAAACAAACGAACAAACAAATTAACGACTACCCACTTAATCCCCTACCTATATGGAACCGGACCCAGAGGAGAAACGCATGAAGATGGGAGCTGGAAAGGTAGAGAGTGACGGGGAAATGAAACACCAAAAGGTAGTTTTTATGAGTGGGACTTGTGCATGCATCGTACGGATAGCAGAGGATGGTGGGGTCCACGTGGATGCTGATGATTGACTGTCACCTGTTGGTTGTGTATGTGACTGTGGGATCTTGCTTGCATGATTGGAAAGTGGCGAGGTAGGGACTGGAGCCAAGGTGTGGGGGGGAGGAGGAGGAAGAAGAGGGAGGAGAACAATAATGGTGCAAGTTGGGGAGACGGAGGGATCTTTGCAGAGAAAGAGATGTTTGTTTGTGCACGTGTACGGTCAGTGTGTCCGTAGATGAGAGGCAGGTGCTTTCTTTTTTGGCATGTTGAAAGTTTTAACAGAAGATTTTCTCCCCTCTAATCATTTTATTTTAGCCATAAATTAAGAATAGGCACATCGTTAATATTCATAAAAGGAAGTTCATTATGTTTATCTCTTATATTATTTTATTCAATAAAAATATTAAATAACATATATTAATCACCTAATAATTTTTTACAATATAGTTAGAATATTATAATATTTTAGCAATGAAGTAACATAAATAAAAAATTATTATTATTATATAATATTTTTTTATATATAATATCCTTTTAAATAAAAAAAAAAATAGGAATATACATCTCAAAACATACACATTTCTTTAGAAAGAATTCGTATTAGCATTTATTATAATTTTTTGTTCAATTAAATCATATTATTAATATCATATTTAATATCGTTTAATTAATGTCTACACGACGGATAACTTAATAATTGATAAATTATATTTTTAAACATAATTAGTGTATGTAATACATGATTAGCACCTTAATTATTTTTAAAAACAGTGTCAATATAGTTGCCACATAAGTGCTACACTGACAATATTATCCTCATTTAATTTTTTCATCTTTTTCCTATTTCTTTTACATTTCATGCACAACATTTCTTTGCTCCTCTATAGTCACTTTTGAAAATATAATATTTATATTGTTATAACTTTTATTATATTTATATTTATTAAATATATTATTAATGATGAGGTTAATTTATACAAAATTTAAAAATACAAATTTTATTTAGACTAAAATTTATTATGTAAACCAATATGATTTTTTGAAAAAGTATATTTCATTTTAATATTCTATAAAAATTAAATTGTATCAAAGTTTTTTAATATGTCTAATGTTATCAAATAAAAATTATTTCAATTGTTATGTTTAAATTTATTAAAATTATAAAATAAATGTCATCTTTATTAATATTATAGTCTACTTTTATCATGTAACAATAAGAAACAGTGATAATAAAAATATAATGGAATAAGAAATAAAGAATTTAGGTAAACATATTTAATTTATTTACAATTATTATTATTATTAATTATTTTTTTGATTTAATCTTTTTATATAAAAAAAACCTTCATTTATTATAATTTGATAATATACAGTAGCAATACATTGATGAATCAATTAGATTATCTTAAAAGTAAACCTTAAATTTTTAATTGTTTTATTGATTAATGACCATTCAATTCGATTGAAAGTTTTCTTTATATCACACTTGACTGCGATATATCCTCTATGACCTTTTTTCTTTTTCATGGAATGTGGTATTTTTTAAAGCTATAATGATATTTGATTGAATGCTCATTATCGTAAAAAAAAAAAAAAAAAAAAAAAAAAAAAACCTGGTAATGACCCCGGAAATCTAAAAGAAATATATAATAACTTAAGTGTGAAAACAAAATAAAAGGTTAAAGTTTACATTCCTTACACAATAACTTAAAAGTACTGAATAATATTATGGAATTAATTATTTGAAAAAAAATACGAGAAATAAGGAAACAAATGGAAAATATAAAATATATAGCATCTACTCGCAATCTTCTTACGGATCCGGCTCTGGAACCTAGTTCTCTTAATTTGAAATGATTAAATAAAGGATAAGCTACACTAGTCCAGTAAGGATATCACACTATATTACTGGCACAGAAATAAAGATTGGTATAAAATCAAAAAGTACTAATGGAGCATTAAATTTAGTAAATTCATTTATCAATCATAAAATAATTTCTCATTCACTTACCATAGTGGAATTTATAAAAATAACCTATAAAAATAATAATATCATACAGATCATACTTTCATGAACAATCAGCAACATAGAACATATTATAAATTCATATCCATTAACAATAAACCAAACCATAACTATTTCTCTTTTCACCAGCTTACTAGTATCCATAGGGGTTCATAAGAATGTTCCTGTTACACGTGAACTTTTTTCTTTAACAATCTCAATTACATGGCCGTTCCCATGCCCCGTCCGGTATGAGTGTCAAATCATTAAACCTCAATACCCCGTCTGGTATGAGCGTGAAACAGGTCGTTCCCATATCTCGTCCGGTATGAGACAGCATTCACGGTAGGGTTTCCTATATACCCGGTCCGTCCATCATCTCCAGGATATCCAGTAAGGCTGTTGTTTTATTTATTCATTTAAATCACACAATTTCCTTACCATTTAACATTCTCTTTTTCTCGATTCAGCAGTAAACACATCAATTAAACATACATGCGTTCAAAGCCATAAAATAAATTAGATACCATCATGCATATAAACTGTAAAATCAATCAACAAACAGTAGTAGATAATTTTCGGTTCCAGCTCCATTAACAACCCGTAATTAATTATGCATGTCTACTAGAGGGTTGGAGTGAAACGGTGCCGTTTGGAGAAGGGGATGGAGATATGGCGTCGTTTAGAGAAGAGGAGGAGGAAACGACGTCGTTTAGTGATAATGAAGAGGAGGAAACGATGTCGTTTGGAGAAGAGGGAGTGAACGGTTGGGATGAGGCGGGATAGACGGATAGGATGGGATACAGGTGGGGTATAAATAGGAGATGGGAAGGAAAAAAAAAAGAAAAAAAGGGAGGGAAAGAAAAAAAAAGAGGAAAAAAAAAGAAAACAAATAAGAGAGAGAACGGAGAGGAAAAAGAAAAAGAAAAGAGAAAATAGAGAAAAGAGAGAGCGGGGAGGGAAAAGAAGGTTCGAGAAAAGAGAAAGAGGAGCCGGAGCGAAGAGGAACGAGAAGGGAGAGAGAAAAAAAAAAGAGGACGGTGATGGTGCGATCAGCGGGATGAAGAAAGATGGAAATGAGAGGTACAGTAAAATTTTGAGTTCTTGTATAGGTGTGGAGTGATTTCGAATCTGTGATCTTAGTTGAGAAAACTAGGTTCCCTTTAGTATGTAGAGCAATAGACTACGAGGTAGAGACAAGCGGTTGTGAATGGCAGGTAGAATCGTGGAGGTGCTCACGGAGAAGGCCGCGGGAAGAGATAGAATGAAGACGTTGGAGAGTGGGAGAGATCCGTGAGAGAGTGTGGTTATTTTGTGTAACATGAGTGTGAGTCCATGATGAAGGTCGCGGGAGAAAAGAGAAGGAAGAAGGAAATTTGTGAGTGTTCTGTGAGAGAGATGAGAGTTGTGATTGTGAGTATGTGATTGGAGAGTGGGAGAGATCAGTGAGAGAGTGTGGTTATTTTGTGTAACATGAGTGTGAGTACATGGTGAAGGCCGCAGGAAGAGAGAGTGAACGAGGAGGTCGGTGAGTGAGTGAGATCCATGAGGGCGAGGTGACATGGTGTGTGTGCGAGCGGGGTGCACGGAGGAGGCCGCGGGAGGAGAGAGAAGAAAGAAGGAAGTTGGTGAGTTTTATGTGAGAGAGATGAGAGTTGTGATTATGAGTGTGTGAGTGGTGATATTTTGAATAGGCCGTGGGAGGGTAGAAGAAGAATGAAAGCAGTGTGTGAGTTCTGTGAGAGAGATGAAAGTTCATGATTGTGCAGGGGGTCCTTAGAGTGGACTGTGGAAGGAGGGAGAATGATGAGTTCAGTGTGTGGGAAGAGATTCGGGTAAGAGAAGAAGTGTGGTATGACCGTAGGGAGAGGTAGATATAGACGGAAAGGATAGTATATATGCTGGAATTTAA